GCCCAGAATATGTTGAACGGTAACACCGATGCTGGCCAGGTTCCACGAAACAGGTACAATAATACATCGCCGGCGGCTATGTAGAAAGGTTTTCCTTCTGAAAAACAATCTTTCATTAAAATGTTCATATTCTTTGAATCAGTGGTAATCCCACTTCTGGAAATACATCCTTAAAAGTAATTCAAAGGAAGAAAACAGTGAGGTGAAGATGTTTATTTTTGCATTATTTATAATAGAAAAATCAAACGTTCAAAAATAGGGAGGTGGTTAAATCAATGATGGTATATTGATGGTTGAATAGTATGCAGTCATTAAAAATACAGTAAAACTTCTCTTTAAAAGCCCTGCACCGAATCAGCTCTCCAGATTAACCAGGCTTTCATCCCCCCACCCCACCCCGCCCCGCTGTGAAACAGACCCCAGGATCCTTTGTTCCTCTGTGTCAGCTTTTCTCTGTCACCTCCACTCAAATCTCCTGCTAGTGAGTTGAATGCTTACCATCAGTTCAGTGGGTTTGGTCCCAGATGTGTTTACACTCTTGGTATTTGTCACTGTAACAACTTAATTTAATTGCATATTATATGAACCAATGAAATATGACTACTTAGAAGATGAGAGTTGTTATTTCTAAGAAAATTAATTTAAATGCTTTGGAAAGACTTTATAAAGCTAGTCACTCAAACAGGAGTCAAATTGTATGTGAGCAAAATGAGAGCAAAAGACCAGACAAAAGTCATAAAAAAAAAATGTAAGCTACTACATAGAGATTGCTTCATGAGCATCTTTAAGTTCTCAATGAATGTTAAAGAAAACAGAATAAAAATTCAGGCTTTGTAAACAGCACATTATGGGCATGGTGGATGCAAGGGAGATGCTCAGAAAGCACACCCGGGCCAAACGCAAAGCCTTGCCTTACAGCGAAAGGCTGGTAAATGAATGTACATTGTGAATAGTACTAAAATAAAATACTTAATGCATGTATGTAATATCTTGTTTTATTCTCCTCTTTAACCAATGTTTCCATTGGCTGACTAGCAGACCCTGACTCTGTTGAATACCAGGGATTCTACTGTCCTGTAAAAACAAGTCTACTGTGACAGGGACCAGAAGTGCCTTGATTCACTTCTGTATCCAAAGTTATCCCACCAGTGTGGCTCCTGGCACACTTAAGTCTCCAATAAATAAGGGCTGAATCAATAAACCACGTAGCAAACATGAGAAAATGCTTCTAAGGAGATGCAAATTGAAAAAAGCAGAATAAAAAAAATTAAATGTAAACCACAACTACACCTTTGCCTTTAAATACGGAGACAGGTGGACAGAGCTCAAAGGAATGCCCCAACTGCAAAATACTTGAATGAAGGCAGAATAAACTAGAGGCACTTTCGTACATTTTAAAATATTTTCTTTCATATTGGCACATTCTTTTACATACTCAAAAAGATACTGATCAGGAAAAGGAGAATGCTGTTTTTGTTTCCATTGGCCTTTGAAAATAAGAAGGGAATCAACATTTCCATTTCCTAAGTTCTCCCACACTCGGGCCTACTCAGCTGACTCCACCTCACTACCTCAAGCAATTCTATCTTTCTCCTCCCAAGACCAGATCTGTTCTAACCGTTATTTTGTGCTTCTAACCCACTGGGATGCTATTTTTTTAAATCTGGAGTTACCCACCCTCTCGATTACCATCTATCTGGCTAAAAACAAAACTCTCAAAACTGCAATTTACATTCCCAAGAGATTCCCCAACACTATCTAATTAAATCACTCAATCAGAAAACAAATTAAAATGAAATATCACTGCAACCCTCAAGAGGAAAATAAACTTTTCATTCATGACTAGAACAGACCTTTGGGTGATGCTCCAAAGCCTCTTCTAATTGCAAGTCCTATGGAACATCCTGCAGAACATTTTGTGACATTTGCAGCTTCCGGGACAACTTTCCTCCCAAAGCAAAGAGGAGCCTGAGCAAGGCTCCAAAGCAAAACATCTTTGTTTGAGAATAGAAATGCTTTCGTTAATGACTAACTGGTGCATTGGGCATCCACACTGCGTGCTCATTCGTTCATTCGTCCACGTATCCATCCCATGCCTCCTCTCTGCGGATGCCGGGAACTGTCCTGACTGGTCCACAAGAACTTTTTAAGTGAATGTAACCTCTGCCTCTCGGCATGAAACAAAACAAAACCCAGAGCTTCCTGAGTTTATCTAGGAGGTCTCCAAGTTGGAAGGCTATGATGCCATCACCCCTGGGCCACCCTCTGAGGTCTCTCACTCTGATATCAAATCCCCCCGTCCAGGGGAGCACTGTTCCTCCTTTGCCCCACTGACCCTCTTAGGAGACAGTAGAGTATATGGTTAAGAACACAGACTCTGAAGCCACATTAGTTGGGTTTAAAACTCTGCACGACCACACACCAGTAGTATGACCCTAAACAAGGCATATAACCTCTAACCTCTCCATCTGTATAATGGGGTTAATATCACCTACCTCATAAAGGTGTGAGGATTAAATAAGTCAATAAGAGTAGTGCCTGACACATAATAGGTCCTGTGTAATTTTTAGCTATTATCATTATCATTATTATTATTATTATCCTTTATTCTCCCTCAGCTCAGCAGAGTAAACTGGATTGCTCAAGTCTCTACTGATTAGAGGAAGCTTGACAGTGGAATACACATACACAGCCCATATCTTCAAGAACAAGGGTCCAATCCTGCCCTTTCCCACCCTCTGCCTTCAGAGGGCTGCACTTGGCCAGTCCCAAACTTTGCAGGTCCTTTACCTAAATAAGGTAAATCCCTGTATTTCCTTTAAATTCCCTTAAACCCCGCTCAGGGATGGCTCCAGCACCTCTGGGGGAGCTGTCGCTAGTCATCGGCACAACCAACCACGTGACCCTCTGCCTTCCACCCGCCTCCTGTCCGGCCTTCTCCCTGTCACCAACCCTTCCCTGCCTCTCTATGGGTGTGACTTTCCGTCCTGAGAATCTGGTCATTTCTGAATCTCCACAGGCGTCCAAATACAGTCAGCACACAAATTAAAGAGAACTGTCCCAACACGTTTTAAGGATCCTGCTCCCTCTTTTTTCCCATCCTTCTCAGTGTTCTCAAGTACAAAATTAAAAGTTCCAAACAATGCATAGTTATAAGGTTTCCCGGGAGAAAAATCACAAAGGCTCCTTTCAACATTGCACTCATTTTCAAGCAGAGCCTTCTACACTATGAGACATGGTCCACATTCAACATGACAGGGGCCCACTCTGAGACGGGCTCATGGGCTAAGAGTGTCCCCTCACTGCTTCCCAAAGTAGTACCCTGCTCACCTCCTCCCTGACCAGACTGAGAAGCACAAGAAAATCATTTTCCAGAAACATATCCATACACACACAGAATCTGTGAATAAAAAATCTCTCAAAATCTGTGGGCAAACTGGAAATGTCAAAGTAAGGAATGGCCTTGTGTCTCCCGGGGAACATTCTGAATCACCCTGGGGCAAACATTGTACTTCTATTGCTGATGAATTGTCAATCCAGACCCAGGGGATGGAAAGGGACAAGTGAAAAAGAGCAGCAACAGGCACCATCAGAAAGATAAATGGGTCTGCCGAGCCCAGGGCCAGGTTGAGAGGCAGAGGCAGGTAAGAAGGAGAAGCTGTCAATAGTCTCTTCTTCTGGGGAAATGTCAGAGCCGGGAACTTGTTCTGAAGTCATCAGGCAGGATGCACAGCGGATATGTCTACCTTTCCTGCACTCACCTGAACCTCCCTCGGAAGGAACTGTTCTGGACACAGTGAGGAAACACAGCAAATGTGGACAGAGCAGCTGTCCCCACCCTGGCAGGAGCAGCAGACGCAAGAGTTGGCTTTAGACACTCAGGTGTAAACAAAAGAGAGTGCAGGATGCTAGTACCAAAGCCTGGTAGGCCACCAGATTGACAGGTGAACTAGGCTCTGCTGGGCTTGCCCTTAGGCAGCTCACAGGTAGAAAGCAGGGGGAGTCAGAGGCAAAGAAACGCTAAGAGTGAACACGAGAGACCTGCATGTGAGGGCACAGCGGGCACAGCGTGGTGCCTGGAGTCCTCCATCCCCTGCCTCGGACAGCTCACTGGACCAGGTCGCCTAGATGGAGCCCCTGCCCAGTAACCCACCCTCCTCTTAGCCCCAGCCTTGGCCTGGACTACAACCTCCCAGAGCAGCCTCAGACTCCAGACCCACCCCAAGTGGGTCTATCTGCTCCACCCAGCCACTCCCTGGGCTCAGGACTGGAGCTACCAAGGGGACCGCCTCCATCCAGCTGCCAGCGGCTCGGCTCCTTGAGGAAGGCACAGCCAGGGCAGGTTCTCCCGGTCCTGAGCCGAGGCACCCCCGCAATGCACAGAGCTCCAGGCTCCAACCCTTCTTCCCCACGTCCACACCTGCTCCTGGAGAGATTCTTAGAGCCCAAGGCTGTGGTGGGCAGGGGGACAGCAGCAGCCCCAGCCACAGATTCCCCTGCATTTCCCCCTACAGACCGCGCACAACGCGGCTGGGGCTATGCAGTCTTCCTAGTTCCACCTTGTCCCGCAGCTTGTGGGTTCTACATGCCCGTGGCTGGGCCGCGGGAGCATCTCACCATGGCTCCTTACAGTGGCCAAAAGAGCTCCAAAGCCCCAAGCATTCTCTTGTACACACAAACATTCACACGTACACACACTGAAGTCCGACCTGTGTGGGATCCCGAGAGCCCGCGAGCAACCAGCCAGGAGTCACACACACATTCGGACACGTGTGCAGCGCGCCCCCACACTGCCAGGGAGCTGCACACACGTGTGCCCTGGAGAAGTGCTCACGGCCCCAGGCATGAGGGTCCTCAGGCAAGAGTGTAGCCCCACAAGTATCAGCACCTTCAGAGCCCCGCAGTCGCTCCTTAGATGTGAACCAGCACCAAGGCACCCCGCGCTACGGTAGGCACTCCCGGGCCCCATAGGCGGCCCAAGTTTCCCAGGGCGCCCCTACCTTGGATATGCTGCTTGATAACATTCTCCAGGTGGTCCAGCCGTTCAATAATCTTCAGGGTGTCCCCTTTGTCTTCCTCCAGCTTCTTGTCGGGCGCCGGCTCCTGCCCCCGCACATACACGCTGGCGATGTAGTTGGTGACCCAACCCACGTAGAGCAGACATATGATGTTGGTCATGCCGCTCAGGATCACGCAAGTGGACACCAAAGTTTTGGTCTTCCTGGTGCACACCATTCTGGGCTCCCTCCTCCATATAGAGCTGCCGGGCCCCTTCTCCCCGCGAGCCCTGGACTGCCCCGCGCGCACACCCCCTAGTCCCCCTGGCAGCTGGGCACCGAGCACCTGAGTCCGGAGGCTCTCCAAAGCTGTGTCCGCGCTGGCTGTGGAGCCGCTGTGCCCAAGTTTGGAGCTCCCGCCTTTGCCGCCCGGAGAGAGAGAGTGACAAAAGAAATGAGGTGGATTTTTCTCCAAATTAAAAATAACCGAGCCCTTCTCCTAGCGGTCACGGGTGGCCAGCAGCCGCGAGCCCCAATACGCGCGCCTGGGAAACTTTGCCACAGCCTGGGTCCACAGCCGTGCGGCTTCCCATGGCCAGCCGCCGGCTGCCTCGGTGGTCCCACTGGCCCGCACTGCTAGAAGGAGGGCAGCGGCAGCGGCAGCGAAGGCAGGGAGAGCCGCGGAGCAGAGCGGCCCGGCCCCCTCCGAGCGACAAGCGCTGCCACCAATCGCGCTCGGGCTAGGGAGAGGGGCTGGTGCAGGGCGGCGGGACCAAGGCGGAGGGCGCAGGAGGGGGTGGTGGGCGGAGTCCAGGCCCCAGGCCCCACCTGCTGGCAGCTCCTGGCTCCCACCCTCCAGGGATGCGCCTGAGCCTCCACCCTCACCAGTGTGCCGCTGGCAATCCCAAACCCAGAGCTCAGGGAGGGGACACACCGCCAGTCCCAGCCCCTAGGTCAGCAGATTCTTCCTCTAGGTAAATTCCACCTCTTGCTCTTGCACTGGAGCCTCCGGTCTTTGGGTCCTGTGACTCAGAGTCCCTCAGTGACCCTCGCCTTAGGGCTCCTCTGGCTGGTTCCACTAGCCCATTCCTGGACCGCTTTTTCTGGTTGCCAGGATGCAGAGAGGCCAGGAAGCATGTGCCAGATCGCCTGTCCTGTCTTGCCCTTGGTCCAGCCCTGTGGGCCCCCACTTCTTCCTTGACCTCACTTCGACCTCCACCCTGTCCACTGGCCTGGTTTTCTCCAAACCTGGCAATTGTTAAAGGAGCCAACCCTCCTGGGAATCTCCTAGAAGATTTTGGACCACATCCCCCTCAAAGAGTTTTGACCTGATCTAGATTATTTTTAAGTCTGTGCACTCCCAGGACGAAGCTGTGTCCTATAACGCCACTTGTCTCCATGGGGGACCAGGCTCATCTCAGTGCATAGGGAAACCCTGAACAGAATTATCCCTGGGGAAGGGGGGTTGGTGGGTTAAGCTCTCTGTGAAGTGTACAGTCCCTATGCATACTTTTTCTAACTGATGTTGGGGAGAACTGTGACTGTCACCAAAGGGGCAGAGCTGGATTCTAATGGTTGACACCATTTTGTTTGTTATTAGAGCAAATATTCATCCTCTCCCCCTCTGTTTAACACACTTCTTCTCAGCACCAGAACAGAATTCCTTTACACAAAGACTTTTTAAAACATACATTTCTTTCCTCTTCTCCATCTGTGACTTCCATTTCCCTGGCCTGAAGGGTCAGGGAGGCAGCCTGTTGCATGCCCACCATGAACACCAGCGCTTCAACCAGCTTTGGCCATAGTACTCAAGGTGGCTCCCTCCCAGTGATGTCTTCTGGATTCAAAGGTCTGGCCCCACAAAAGATGGAGAGCACAAAACCACAAAAGGGACACTTTATAGCCATCAGCCAGGGTCCCTTCAGTCACTGCTTTGCTTACAAAACCCCCTAAAAGATGCTGTGAAAATAGACACCGACTAGGGGTCCTAGTAGATTTCTCTTTACCCATAGCCAGAGAGAGAACAGTATGTATGGGCTGGGGAGAGTAGAAAAGGACAGTATGTGTGTGTCAGTAAGTTTGAGAGGAAAGAACACATGCTCTTTGTGAAAAAAATCAAGGTATAGAAATCTCTTTCCATGAGGGAATAAAACTTGCCTCTCCCTTTCTTTTCCTCTGCAAGCTCTAACCAGCTCCCAGATAAAGGGTCTGGACTTCCCTCCAGCTGACTGAGTTTAGAAGCAATGGCCTTGAGTACAGCCGATTCTCCCTTTCGTCCTGCACCCTCCAGGAGGAGCCATGGAAGTTCAGCTCCTCCCAGCACCTTCCTAACCCACCACAGGGCTAGAAGAAGAGTGGTCTTCATTTTGCACATTCTTAATGGTGGGGGAGTGGGGAGGGAAGGCCCTAAGTTTGAAAATAAGGTTCAAGAAAAAAACAAAGTGGATTGTGTGACCTTACATTTTCGTCTGGCTGATTCTCTAAGGTAATTTATAACTGTGGAGGGGATGAATGCAGCAGAACAGCCTGTCCTCTCAGAAAGGTCACAGGTCGAAAAGACCAGTTCAAAGAACATCCACCAGAGGTGCAGCCAGACGCCAGGACTCCAATCCCAGATCCACCACTATTAGTCACTTGAGCTTGAACGAGTTTCAAAAAGTCACTGGGGCTCAATTTCTCCATATGTCAAATGTAAACAAGACTTGCTGAAGGGACTAGCTGTGCCGATTAAATGAGAGAATGCACCAGAAAGGGCTTTAATTGGTTCAGGACACATAGTGAGTGCTCAGGATCAGGTGAGCTTCCTTCCAAGATACGGTTCCTCCCCTTTCAGGCCAGAGCTCCACTCCGTGAGCTCCACACTGCCATTTAGCAATACCTGGTTCCTCCACCAACCAGTATCAGCACGTTCTCTCTTTAATGTAAGCGAACAGGAACTAAAGCTATAGGTGGCAAGGTCCTCAGCTGGCCTAACTGGGCTCCCTCACATTGGTTTTCTATTCATAATGTCTGTCTTCACTATCAGTAGTGCAGTGATCTGCATAGGTTGACAGGATGTTCGAAATGAAAAGCTAGTTTTCAAGGACGGTTGCCCCCAGGACCCTCAAACTTCTACTTATGACTCCCAGCCCCTTGGTTATAAACAAGTACACAGAAGGGAGCACAAAAACTTAACCCACAAAGGTTGACAGTCACAGAGTTAGCCCCCATGTAATCCCTCCTGTAAACAATACCTGAGGAGAGAGTCATATCTTTGGCCCTCAGTTCGATTACACTCAATCCGATAAATAATAACTGAGCCCCTGAGGTTTTCTCTAACGACCAGTTGCCATGGTCCCTGTCCAGTTTACTCCGGACATGTAGATATAACCTGAGTCTCATAGTCTCAAGGTGAGCCTCCTTTCTGAGCCTGGAAACCTGCTAAAAGTCATCCTTGAACTGGAAGGATGTTTCTGATTCTCAAGTTAGGTCATTTATCTAACTCCTAAGTATTTCCTCACCTTTATTTTAAATAAAGCCTGCCTCAGAAGATCACTGTGAAGTTAATCAAATAATGGATGTGAGCAGGCCTAGCAGAGAACCTAGTACAATGTACTTCTTTAAACTTAGGCCCAGCATTTGAGTCTGGGGTCTCTTCCACTCCTGAGGCAAGAGGAAAATGAGTACCTTGAGGAATCTACAAAAATGGCTGGAGATCTCTGATAGGGTCTTCCCAGCACAACTTTGGGTTTCACCCATCTTTTATATTGGGTAGGCAGCTGCCCTCTTCAGGTGATTTGAAAGGCAGCTAAGTAGGACTTACTCACAGGTACAGCCACACTGTCCTCCCACCAGTACTAAGCCTTCATGTGGAATATCTTTGACACCAGGGTTGGAAGAGCCAGTCATTAATGGAGTTTGCCTACCAGTTGAATACATTCTAAGTGGAGTACCCTGACTTGGAGGTTAAAAAGGAACAGTAGACAATCTTAGCTACTGGCAGGGGTCCACTCATCAAAGAGAGATGTCAGTGGTCATCTACACCCACCAGAAGGCAGCACCATGCAAAGCCTTGGGCCAAGAGGTACCAATTGGAATTTGGGAGCTAGCGGGGAAAATGGGCTCTGAAGGTAGAAAGCTTCCATCGCTGGTCTGGCTGCATGGGAAATAGGAATGCCAGGTCCCTAGAATAAAAGGGATTGTTGGGATGGATGCAAGGTTCAGAGGCAAAGAAGATAAAGGAACAGTAAGAACACGACTGGATTCTGCCAAGCCACAGGACTAAGAGGTCATTGACAGAGACAGCACATATCGGGGGAGGAAAGGGGAACAAAGAGAGGAATCTTTGTTTATTACCTACATTGTATCAGGTCTAGTATTTTTCATATGTCGGTTTTTTTTTTGTTTTTTGTTTTCTATGGTACGTGCCCCTAGCAGGAACCGAACCTGGGACTCTCTGGTCCGCAGGCCGACATTCAACTGCTGAGCCAGACTGGCCAGGGTCACATGTTGTTTCTTAAGCAGAAACAGTTGGATTCATATTCCTGTTCTGCCATTATGATCTTGAGCAAATCAGTTAACCTCTCTGTGCCTCGATTTCCTCATCAATAAAATGGAGATAATAATAATAATACCTATTGTATGGAGTTGTTTTGAGAAGTAGATGAATTCGTATATATGAAACATATTGAAGACACTATATAAACATTGGCTATTGTTATTATTGTTGTTACTATTTCTAAGCATCAAAGTATCTGGACAATAAATGAAAGGAGAGAAGACATGCAACCCAGAGAAAAATGTCCCCTTACTAGGAGCAAAGAATCTAAGAAACAGACTCTCAGCTCCTCTTCTTGTACCTTATTGAAAGGCCCAAGGCAACTCCTAGCTGACTTGCAGGGCAGATCCTGACAGGAATCCTGCAACCAGCCTTATTTAACCACCTGTCCACATGTTCATCCACTAAATGCTTCTGAGCACCTGCTCTGTGCTACACCCAAGGCTGGGCCCTGGTAATGCAGGGGTGACTCGGAGGCCTGCACCGCGGTCCTCAAGATCACTGTTTAGTGGAGGAGGCCTACAAATAAGCTGTAATACAGCCAGATAAGCTCTGAGTTGATATATTATATTAATATACCAAATATATTACAAGAGAAAGGCTCCAGCTGTTGATAGAGGCACCAAGTTCCTCCCAACAAGGCATATGTCATTTCTGAGTGGTGCTGCTTCCATTCAATCACTGGACAGTCCCGCTGAGTGAGAAT